TACCAGTCCCAAGGTGCCAGAGATGAGAATTTATAAGCATTTTTTTAACATTCATATCTCGCTTGGAATCTCATTTGATAGCAGGGTTAGATAATATTAGGATATTTGATCCTAGTTTACGTTGGACTAAAACACGCTTAGAAAAAACTGTAAAATAATATTCCGAAGGATTCTTATAGATAAGAAAATACCTTTCATACTAATATATAAAATATATGAAAACTAAAACTAAATCCGTGGTTGAATAGAACACAGCAGAATTGTTAAGTATATTATATAAACATAGTTAAATGGATTGAGAAGCCATATGCTTTACGCATTACCACAGATATTACCATACTAGTTAGTAGCATTACATAAGTATTAAATTGTCTGCGTTCCCATTACTAGACAGTAAACCAATTAAAATATAAGCAAGATTTGTCGAACGGCTGATATGTAAAAGAAAATTAAACAATTTAATCGAGGTTGTTTACCTCAATTAAATTGTTGGGCATCGCCTGACCAATCAACAGATTATAAAGCGTCTAAGATATCATTTATTCAGAAATATATTCTGTATTTTCATACCAACTCCTTACGTATCTAAAAAATAAGAAGAGGTATTAAAAACAAAAATTATCTTGTTTAATATACGAATACTTAACGTAAGTGCAGGATGCCGATCGCAGACATATTTGCCTATCCACTGGTCGGAGTCGTAGGAAAAAATACTTGAGCCGGTCATTGCATTGGTGACCAAAAATTTAATCTTAAGTTCCTCAACGATTCGGAAGACAAACCGTTAGTACTGGCAGTGTCTGCAGTAGTTACCACCTAGCTCGGCGTCCGCGTGGTGCACAATAACTCCATATCCCTATTCAATTCGGTATGGATCCGAATCCGGAAAGTCCTTAGTCCCAGCAGTGTCGATATTAATAGGGTATTACTAAATACGAATAGAAAAACAGAGTAGCTTTTATTCTCTTCAAACAAAGAATCATTAATACAGGTTAATTTGACAAAATTATGGCTAGTTTTCGTTCGGAACAAGGGCAGAGCCTTATTATGGCGTGTGTTTGAATATTTCGGTTGAAATCACGCGAATTTGCGTGTTTCTTAGTGAAAGTCGCCGCAACATTAAACATTTAGAATATTTGTTGCTTTTGTTCAACTATTGGTCCTCGAAAATAATTATGACTAGATTTTTCATCTTCTGGTCTATTTATAAATTGGTAAGATATAAAATTCAGAGTTGTAGAATAACTGCAAACAAATTTATTCACAGTGCAGTGTAGATATTTGTAAATAGAGTATCCTAATTAGTTGTTAGTTTTTGCCATATGAATCACATTTAAATATATACAAGCGTTACATACTTCTCTTGCTTATTGTTAAGTGATTAGGGCTCGCAAACCTGGTAAATATTAATAACCAGCTGGTAAGAAACTTCATACATTTTTTCGAGAGCATTTCTTTCGGGTTTGTTTATTTAGAATAGAAATTATATCGGTTCCGATCAATAATCAAAACTAAACGGTTCTGCTTGAAATACCGGTTGTTAACTTTATTACTTTACTTTATAATTGACTACTTTTCGAAAAGCTGTGTCACTTCTCTTCACCTTCACCTTTATTTTTTTGGAACCAGGTTAATTCCAGTTGTTTCACTACTTGTGATTGATTTTTATTCCGATCGAAGGTTTTTGAAAAACATGATTAATAATCTCTAAACTGGTATTTTACGAACCGTTTCGTAAGCCTGTAACCGACTGGGGTATGTGGGACCCTCCAAGACAAATTAGGAACCAGCAAATCGGCATCGGCATCCTGGTACCAGGTCAACCAATTTAATTTACAAGAAATTATACCAAAATGAGGAAGTATTAAAAAAAACATTAGTATTGGAGGGGAAGGTAATTGTACCCTATTCATGGATGGGTGAGCCCCAAGATTTTGAGGCAAGACCTCCCTAGACGAATGTAGCAGTACCATTCACGCAATAGGACCTTCGTTAACCATCTGCACAGGGCCCGCGTGGAGGGTCATAGTACATTTTTCCCTATTCAAGTCCATCCATAGGGAAGGCCTGAGCCCCAACAGTGAGGAAATCTATAGGCTGGTGATGATGGTTGTAAATCAAACGGAATTTAAATTCGAAAAAAGTTAGTAACAGAATACGAATATTAGGTACCACAGTAATACCATACTTATTTGGCGATAAACAAGTGGTGTAAAGGTTATGGCTTACCTTCATGTACATTAGTGCTGGAAAAGCTTGGAAATCAATAAATTCAACGTTTCAAGCTTGCGTCCATGTCAAGGTTTGGACTTTTTCGATACTATTTTCAAATACTATGATTCAAGACTTGGTTTAAACATTGCGAATTCTTAAGTTTTAACTATAGACATAAAACGATATGAACATTTTACATCAAATTATGTAACATCGCCATCTATTATAAACGCTTTCTTAGGATCCAGATATCAATGTTTTAAAAATATTTATTTTTTATAATTTTAATGTTGGAATTGGAACTGGAAGTAATGGATGCGTAATTTTTACCATCGTTTTAGTTGATTTCGATTAATATTATCATTTATTTAAACTTTTTCTGTAAAATAGCAATGGACATTAAGTTGTGAGGATATGTTTGTTGTAGATTTATGATATGGTTCTAATTCAGTGGCGTAGCTACCAAGGGGCTAGGCGGGGCAGTGCCCCGGGGCCCTCATGCTCAGGGGGCCCTCGAATGTTTACCAGAAAATCTCAATCGAACTCAACTTTTGAAAATTTCTCCCATTTTCAAAATAAATATGACAGGTGACAACTCGAGTTTAATCATGGCAACTCAATTGTGAGAAATTCCAAAGTTATAAAAAGGGAATTCCCCTAAATTAATAATTATTTGTGTGGGTTGAGTGTTATTAATGTTTTCATCAATTTGTCGGATATCAATATCTGCATTTTATTATTCATCGATATGCATTTTTGTGATTCGCGATTATGAACTTCGAGTCAAGATTTTTTTTCGAGAATGGTTAAAAAGTTAATGTATCAGGAGTAAGTAAGCGTATGTCAATAGTTTTTTTGTACTGGTCCATACAAAAGTTCAATTTTATTTGATTATAGTACGTATACATAGTTACGTAATGAAATCTATAGGTTTCGGCTAATACCGTGAAAAATACAAGTCACATGCGGTAGGGGGGGCATCCATTAATTACGTGATATTTTTTTGTCATTTTGGTAACACTGGCGGCGATAAAATGTTTGCCGGGGATTCCCCAACGACGTCTTGTATCGAATCATTACGTATCGCTTTCCTTTTACTTGTAAAATAAATTAGAAAACTAATATTATGGACAAAAAAAAGAAACCCAGTGGTGCATTTAAACGCAAACAACGCCAAGAAAGAGAAGAAAGTAAACAAAAATTGCCCAAAATTGACAAGTTTTTTAGTAAGCCTTCTGCAAGTACTTCTGGACAAAATATTTCTATTGATAATTTTTGTACCAAGTCCTGCCATAAATACGGTTACAAATGAAAATGGTCAATTTTTTTTTTCTTTAGTTTTATATAAATGTAAGTGTTATGTACACAAGAAAAATACTCTAAACAATTGTTTTACATAAAATTTTATTCAAAGTGAGCACCCATAGTGTTTACACAAGCTTTTAAATGAACCGGCCAGTTGTCAATACTTTTATGTACGACATCCATAGGGAAGTTGGCCACTGCTCGCTCCAGTGATCTCTTGAGAGATTCCAAATTGTGGTGTCCCTTAGATCAGGCAATGTCCTCTAAGACAGACCACATTTTGTAATCTAATGGGTTCAGGTCTGGACTGGAGGAGGGCCAATCATCGGCTTTGATAAAGTCGGGAGCATTATCCGCGAGCCAAGCTTGGGTGGTGGCCAAGCAATAGCCTTATGACCGGGAGCCGAGTCTTGTTGGAACGTCCAGGGAATATTAGGAAAAAGTGTGTCGCCTAAAGGTTTCACTACGTCATTTAGGATGGTTTCTTGGCACACCTTGGCAGAAGTTTTCACACCCTTTTCACAGAAATAAAGCTTGGTAACGCCGTGGTAGGACACCCCCCCACCAAACCATCACTGACGCGGGGTGGTCGCCTCTCTGAACTCTTTTTACGACTTGGGACGCTTCTTTAGAATTGTGGGCGTAAACACGGTCATTTTGCTTGTTGAAATGTTCATCAATGGTGAAAATTTTCTCGTCAGTAAACAAAATGTTCCTGTGCTTTCCATCTGCGTAACGAACGAGCAACTGTTTTGATCTTTCTACCCTTTTCGTCATTAAAGCTCGATTGAGGGTATGTCCGGTATATCGACGGTAAGCCAAGTTTTAGGTCATCTTTGATTATTCGGGACAGAGTCCAAGGCTTGATCTTCATTTTACGGGATAAAATCTTCTGCTTTCTCAAGGAATTTCGTCGAATTCTGACTCAGACCGCGTTGATAGCCTGTGTGGTTCGAGCAGTACGCAGACGGCCCGATCTCTTATGGACATCAATAGAGGAGGTCTCGTACGAACCTATTGATGGTACGATACACAAATATCCGACTGATACCTAGCTTCTGTAGGATCTTATAAATCACAGAAGGCTCAATTCCCTCCTTATGCAGTGCATTAACAGTGATTCTATCTTCTTTAACACCCCACTCCATTTTAAAATATTTATTTATGACAAAAATCTTGTTGTTTTACAAAGAGTAACTCTTAATAAATAAATAAACATAGCAGCGTTCCAAATTCGAAATTCAAAAATTTGGAAAATCTTTACTTTTACAATTGTAACAGAATTTATGGCCAGACTAGGTAAATAGCTTGCATGGAGATAGGTTAAATAACAGTTAGCAGGTGCAACGTATCTATGAATAAATAAATATATAATAAATCCTTGAATCTTTTCTATTTCGTGTTATTGCCCAATACCTACACTAAGTATAAAAATAATTGTAATTTATGTTGTAAGCGTTTAATAGTTTTATTACCTGCCCATGCACGAAAAAGAGCTGATGATAAAGTTGCTTATCATTTTTAAAGTATTTGTATATTTAATGATTTTACTTCAAAAAACCTTACCAGTTTTGATAGCAGTGGGCCCCATTTTTTTATTTGCCCCAGGGCCCTAGGTTACCTAGCTACGCCACTGTTCTAATAACAACAAAGCGCGTGACAAGCGAGCTAGGCGAGCGTGCTCGGTCTGAGAAACGCCAAAATGAAATCTAATCTAATAAAACCTAATGCATATATTTCAACACTAAGAAATAATCTAATTTGAAAAGATTTTACTGTGTTATGCTTTTAAATGAATTAACCATGTTTTATCTTTATTTCAGGAGTGTCCAGAAGGCGTGGTACAAGAAGAATCATTCAAAGACATTTACGCGAAATTTTTCCCGCACGGCAGTAAGTATCTATATATATTTTTATATTTGTAAATATATTGTACTTACATAAAATGGTTTTAGATTCATATTGAGTCCTTATTGTTTGAAAAGAATACAGAAAATATAGAAATATATAATTCTTCACCTGATAAAAACTAAAGGGGTATATGTTATTTAAAATATATTAATTAGTACATACGGAACATTAGGTGCGCGAGTCCGACTTACACGTACCGGTTAATTTTGGCCTGTCTAAAATTTTATTACATTAAGACCATAGATTTTATACACTCATTTGAATATTTGTATTATAATCAAGCCTTTAATCGGTCGTTTTGTTTCAGATTCGGCTCTCTATGCTCATTATGTGTTCAAAGCCTTCGACGTTAACTGCAGCGGCGCCATTAGTTTTAGAGTGAGTTTGTTTTACTTTAATTTGTCGAATCCTTTTCATATTAAAGCTACTCTAATTTTAATGGACTCATAAATTAGTTCAGTTCAAATGATCTATTAATATAAATATGTTATTATAATGCTTTCTAAATAAAGTTTATTAAGTGGTATAATCTTGTAAACGTTAACATGCGCCTAGCAATAATTTAATTTACAAGAAATTATACCAAAATGAGGAAGTATTAAAAAAAACATTAGTTCCTGAAATCAAACTAGATGTCGCTACGGTACGTTCTTAATTTCTTCATGACAACCCTTCCGGTTTTCTTTCGTGTATAAAAGGAAATTAGTTTTCAAAACTCAATAAAAAACTCATATTCTATTTGTATTTTTTCGTATTTGTATTGATATCTAAGTTTCGAAGTTTGCAAATATCAGTTTTCTAATATGTCAGTTAAAAGGAACGGAATTGACTATCTTTGGTCCATGCTTTTCCTGCAAAAATCAACTTTTGCTAGAATTGCTATTTAGTGGTTTCTCTTTTTTTTTTAATATTTCCTCTTTTGCCATAATAAATAAGGCGTATACGCATTTACTATGTTAAATTTATCTTTCGTTTTTTACGAACGTATATTAGACGTCACGTACATTGCTCAGTTTCCAAGATGACTAGCTAAAGCCCTCGTATTATGGAGTATCTGACACTACGAAGGTACCGCAACATCCAAACGCGAGTCAATATTGAGAAGTCCATTTTCTACATTGATCCGGGATTTCAGAGACGGCGACATCTTAAAACCGGCGTGCGATTCAATCTAATAGAAAAAACTCTCCGCGAGCGGTTTACATGTTCTTTAATGGTATTTTTATTGCTACGGAACCATTTAATGGGATAAAACGCAGTCTTTATATTAATCCAAGCTCAGAATTATTCATACACCAAATATCATCAAAATCCGTACAGAAGTTTTCGCTTAAAATAGCATCCAAACCTACAAACTTTCGCCTTTTATAACAAGTTTTAGTAAGATTCATCGTCGTCATCAGCAGCCTTTTTACGTTCCCGCAGCAGGGGCTCAGGAAGACCTGGCATCCTCCTTAACTATCCATAAGGAAGACCTTATGGATAGTTAAGGAGGATGCCATGACCTTCCACGCTGGCCCAATGTGGATTGGGTATTACCGACTGCAAATGCAGCCGCGACCAACGGCTTAACGTGCCTTCCGAAGCACGAAGTAGCTAGAGATAATAATTTTTTGTTCAGCCATCCCGTGACCGACCTTTGCGAATGTTGCTTAATAACAACGATTGTGGGCCGCGGCGTTTATCCACTACGCTACCGAGCTTTAGCTTTAGTAAGATTAATATTTTATGTTTACGTTTGGTTGGATGAGCCTAGTGAATACTGGGGAATTATTTAGTATATTTACTATATTACGCCAAACTTGGAATTATCCTTATACCATTTTTCATCAAAATCCGTTCAATAGAAGCAATACTATTTAAAAGGGTTAAAAACGTATATATGGTACGTGCTCAGAAACTTTCACATTTCTAATATAATAGCTGTATCACTATGAATGTTTTATGTGCGAAATATTGAAATACGAAAGGCAGTAAAATATAACTGCTATCGATAACTAGCATCCGCATATTTTCGATAAAATGTTATAGATATCATTGCCCTAGTTTACAGATTACAACCCTGTTCCAAACTTATCCAATTAGCGTTCGTCGAATGGCTTTAAAACTTTCCCTTTGCAACTGTGGAAGTGCAGCTGAGCTGTGCAGTTATTTATAACTTGTACAATGTATCTCGTGTAAAATATACACCTAGTTGGTAGTTTCTAACGCAAATGCAATATCCCTTCATAAATGTATGTAGGTCAGTTTTAATCTTCGATGTAGGTTGTAGGTATAAAATACTGTTTTTTAGGATTCCGTAGGTGTTCAAACTGTAAAACGGGAACCCTATAAGTGACTTCGCTGTCTGTCTGCTCTTCTGTCACCTGGCTGTATTTCTCTTCCGATGGACAGTTGAAATCTTCATAGATAATATATTTATATTACCGCTGTAATCCAACAGACCTGTTTTTTTATGCTTATTTTCGGTATGGTATCCTGCGTGTGTGAGCCCGACTCTCAATTGCCTGGTTTTCTAAAACGCAGCAATTCATGAGTCTTCACCTCTTTCTACTTCTTCGAAATTTTCGCAAACTGAAGTATATTCCTTCACGAATGCTTGAAAAAAGCTTAAGTATACAAGGTATCCGATTATATAAAAGATAAGAATGCTTGGACTTAAGATGACCCAGCAACTGGATAGGTGATTACTTCTAAAATCATTTTATATCAAAAATTATCATAAAATTATATTTCCATTATTATTAAATGATTATGTTATCATTATAAGACCACAGTTTTTTTTTGTCTCACTATTTATAATGTATTGATCTGGTAATTACATGTTTTTTGTGAATGTCATTACTCCTATTAGAGCCGGTGAGTTTCTTGCTCGTTTTTCTTATCAGCTAAAAGACGTCCTGAACGTGGTAGGGAAAAAATTTTGGACAATTCAAAAGTACTGTTAGGAAATCTATTTGAATAAAGATTATTTTGACTTAATGAATTCATAAAAATTTACACACGGCTGCACGTCAGACTTGTGTAAATTTTTGTACCGAACTTTGTACCGACCGCGCTTAGTATACATGTAGAACTTCCCTACTAACCGAGATCTGCTTATAGTGGTGATGTATAGCGTGCGGCCGTGTGTACTAAGTCAGCTTGCCTATTTCGCAAGTAAGGTAAAGTAAGGACGGCAGAGATTCTAGTTTTAAATAACGAATTGCAAACATACTTGAATTCCTATCATATGCCGAAATATAACGATATTGTTACGAGAAATATAAAATGCGAAATATATGTTTCTCGCAATATTTTAAGTGAGAATAATATCCCAGAATTTTAGATTCCGCACACTTTGATCTAAATTAATACTTTTACAATATAATTTCCCATTAAATAATTGATAGGTTGGTCCTGTTATATCATTTAATTTTCATCAATGTGTTCATTGATGTTTGTTACACGATGCAAACTAAAATATTTTTTCAGTCGTGTAATATTACAATGCTTTCTAAAATGCATCATTAACATGGACAGGAACTGGTTGTTAATACTAACACTCCTTAGACTTCTTAAAGAATTACAGTTTGGGCGCCAGTATTTAAAAATTTTAAATTAGCTGTTTTGATTGTCATTATTCGTTTCATGGACAGGAACTGCTCGTCACCCTATCGACCCTACTCCGGGGATCTGTGTATGAGCGGCTCCGATGGGCGTTCAGGCTGTACGACGTGGACGGTGACGGCGCCATCACGCGCCAAGAGCTGGCCGAGGTGGTGGTGGCGGTGCACGAGCTGCTCGGCAGGAGAGCGCCGCCAGGGTCGCCGGCGGCTAGACTTGATGACGCTAAGGCTAACGAACAGGTACTCTATCTTCCACTGCTTAAATTATCGAGCCAAAGTTATAAACAGAATGAAGTGAAGCTATTTAGAATGCATTGATGTTATCTGGGCTCTGTATGAAACTAAATATTGTCTCGTGTTGGGGCTAATACATAATAAATTTACTAGATATTTGTTCTTGCGAACGTATGGGGTATATCCATTCTATCCTTTGATGTTTCCTACCTTATTTTTTATAGGTAATGTGGGATATATGAATTAAGAGTGCGAAGGAAAGTAGCTTTGTTATCGTGTTTGTTTAAAGTAATTAGAGAAAAAATTATAAACTCAAGAATATTGGGTATGATAGAGTTTAGTGTCCCAGACAGATACGTTGAGCGGCGGCGGCGACCACGTCTGCTGGTGGTACCTAGAGATCGGACAAACTTAATGACCAAGACTTCACTGGGCACCATCAACCATATACCCGAGAAAATCGACCTTTTCTCATGTTCACTGAGTGAATTTATAAAAGTAGCATTATATGTCACCTGTTATTGTTAATTAATTTTAAGAAATTCAGTTACTCTATTGTATTGGGTTTCACCTGTAAAAAAATACGTAAGAGTAGTGAACAAATAAATAATAAGGTTTAGACTAAGTCTTCTTCTTCAAACATCACACAGTATCTTATTTAAAGAACTAGGAAGATTTTCGTTTTAAATCTCGTATTTATAGAAAAATCACTTATTAGAAATTGGTTTTTAAAAATGAATGAAGTACTACATTGAAAAACCTTCCGCGAAAACAGCACTAAAGGTCTAATCAAATGAAACCTTTTAGAACCTCTCTAATGTGACATCGCTGTGTTCAAGGTGTGCACTCGAAACTGATTTTTTAACAGAAGAGCACTACTATATAATACCATATCAATCTCCATACAAGCATTGGCCTCTCAAATGCATTTTTTAAACGTTGATGTCTAATATTGTAAATAATTTATTAGTCATATATGTATACTAGCTATTGCCCGCGACTTCGTCCGCGTGGTAAAGTTACTTTGAGCAGCATTTCTTAACGACTATTTATTCATTATATCGTGTAAAATATCTAAAATAAAGTTTCATCCCCTATTTTATCCCCTTAGTGATGGAATTCATCAAAATTCTTTCTTAGGAGATGCCTACGTCATAATAGCTTTATGCATGCGTAGTCTCAGCTCGATCGGTTTAAAATTGACAAAGTTTCATACAAACTTTCATCCCCTATTTTATCCCTTTGGGGGTAGAATTGATCAAAATCATTTCTTATCGGACGCCTACATCATAACATCTACCTGCATGCTAAATTTCAGCCCGATCCGTCTAGTGGTTTGGGCTGTGCGTTGATAGATCACTGTGTCAGTCAGTCATCTTTGAGTTATATATATGTATAGATTAATATGAATTACTTTTGCAGTTCACAATCTCATTTTGAGATTATGTTGCAAAACATCAAATAGAAATCGCATTTATCATCTTGATCAGAAATTATTATTTTAATTATTCACCATTCAGACTCTTCACGATTCTGAACTTTTCTTAAACCAACTCTTATTAAGCCTATCGTATTGAACTAAAAACCAAAGACATTGGTTAAAAACAATATTCAATGAGTGAATATAATATATATTTTTTTTAGTTTCTTATTTTATGCTCTCTAGAGGGCGCTGTTGCCAATTTAATGTAACGTCACATAGTTACCTACAATTAAGACGCTTCTAATAATATCTCATTTGTCCAGTTACGATGAGTAATTTCGGAGTTATGAACATTCTTAGATACATATATACAGACCAAAATCATAACACTACTTTTCGCTTCGCCGTAGTCGGGTATAAAATTTACTGCCCTAGTAACGATATTGTTTTGATGTCTATCCTATATAACCAAACAATAGATATAACATGGGCACAGCAGCCAAGAGTTTATCGTATCACCAAGCAGCTGCAGCAATATTCCACTCTGATTAATATTATTTTCAACATAATATTGCCGTCGGCCAACAAGCCGCGACTTGATTCTTCCTCTTACTAAGGTATTTTCACCGTTTCCCCTAAGACTTTATACTGTAACATTAATAGTTTCTCAATTATCTTCGATTAAGCACCTGCCTGTTCACCCCGGGAACGTACATGCTCACCATAATAGGACCTAGCTAGACGTTCACCGTATAAGATCTAGATTGGTATTTTCCCAAGGCAAATAATATAAATTCGTTATATTCCAGATGGGGGAAAATCATGTCCACATTAGATGTCTTACTAATAAACAAGGATGATCTTGATAGATTATTTTCTTAGGACGTCCTCTCTATTATAACACTTGAGATATGATCAGCATCAAACCTATTATTTCAATAGTTTGACCTACTCAAGATTTGGTAGTTAAAGACTGATAAGTTACTTTGCCTGTCCCAATGGACAAAACAAACTACAGCTGTCAGGCAAATGTCATAATCACAAAGTTCCGTTTTGATATCTAAATTTTTAAATGTATAAAAATGTTAAAACCTTTTCACACTCTTTCATAATTCATTAAAACTTCTAATGTTGAATGTAAAATCTAGAATGTTGTAAGATTATATAATTAACTTTGAAGTAATGAAAACAATAGATTTTTCTTAAAATAAGAAGTGACGACACCTAGATTATTCAATGATTCGGACAGATTTTTTTAAAGGTTCATTTCTAACGGTCGCGTTCTGGTGTAAAATATTAGAAACCATTTTTAGTTTCTTAAATAATATTTTGATTTTGTTTTTCGTAGGTAGATCGTGTGTTCAGGAAGCTAGACCTGAACCAGGATGGGGTGATAACCATTGAGGAGTTTCTCGAGTCCTGCTTAAAGGACGATGTGATCACACGCTCACTGCAAATGTTTGACACGGCGCTATGACGTCAGACTGACGCAGAGGAAGCGCACACTCCCGCTAGGCAAGTTAAAATTGTCATAATGTATATTAATCAATTTTTAAGATAAATCAAGTTAGTTGTTGTTGACTAAATATCAGAATGTTTAATTTTTAATTCTAATGCATATTTCAGGACTGTAGTAAAGCGCGTCAGCCCTTCATTCCGTGTTATCCGCACTTACTGTCATTGTGCTCGCGCACCGACAGCTCCTAATGGCAGCTTCCTCCACAACATGGCCGCCGCTTGGCGAATCCGCGCGCGTGAGTACGCGCGGTACGTCGCCATGTTCGATAACTTCTATCATGGCGTTGTCAAGCCGAAGATAAGGAGCGTTCTATTTTTCCATTTCTAGACATTTACTCGATGAATTTCTAATATATAAGGACATCGCATCACTTTTTGACGAGACATCAACAGTGTGGTAGACAAAGCATAAAATAAGGCATGCTTCATGTTTTGAGCAAAAATATTATGTGACGTGACTTGTCCATATATATTTAAAAAACATTGGATTTACTGTTAGCGTAATAGTAGCCCTCCTTAAACTACTTAAAAAATTACAGTTTGGGCGCCAGTATATAAATATTTCAAATCTGTTTTTTTATTGTTATTATTTATTTAGTTGTACCACATTGTAGGAAAATAAACATAAAGTAAACCCAGTAATTGATAAAGTAATGTTGAAGTAGAGAGGTAACACGATAGGCGCCAAAATTGTTTGAGTCGAAATAGAATTTTTAGCATAACATATGCCTAGTTAACCAAAAAATTATATGTAATCAATAGGTATATCAAAAGTACTTGACCGGTGTACTTATAAAGCATTGACTCTTTAGTTCGATTCCAGTTCACCGACCTCTGCTTATCTTTTTCAATACCTAAACTATGCTATGTTAATTAAAAAATCATTTTAATAAAGAGGTTATAATAATTCGAATTTTGAATACGCTTACCATGATCAGATATTTTTCGAAGGAGAAATTTTAATTTCTGTAACTTGTTGACCCTTTGTCCATGTGGTATCTAATATAATCTTGTAATTTATCATATTTTCATAATTTGTCAGATGCAAATCACAAACGACCTCTTAAACCAGGAGCGAACATATTCAGGTGTACTAAATCAAGAGAAGTCACACTTATATGAAAACAAAGAGTGAAGATACAAAACTTGCGAGCAAGTTTGTGCACTTAAATATGCGTGAGTCGCGAACTAACACTACAAATTTTCGCCGCGTTCAAAACAACAAAAATTTTGTTAAAAAAAACAGTATAACAAAAGTAGATGTAATGCCAAATGTTTTTAAAACGGGTAATTAATGTATAAAATATAAGCTTTATATTATACACATGAAAAAGGAAAAGAAATATAGTATCAGGTAATTTTCGGACTAATACACACAATATTTATATACCAACTTTTATCCCGCTCGCTCGGTTGACATATTTATTATTACTTAATTCTATACACAAATGAACAAATGCGGATATACTATCTGAGTTATTAGGAATTGGTTTTTAAAGCAATTATGAATGTGCTGTATCTTGGCTTTTGTTTTCATTTAAAGAAATATTTTGTTGTTGTGTTTTAGACTGTTTTTAGCATTAATTTGGTAGTCATGTTGTTTGTTATTTACTATTGCATTTTATAATTATAAAGTATATATAAACAGGTATATATGAGATTACTACGTAAAGAAACGGATTTTGATCTTTGTGTCAACGCATTCCGTCGTCTTAAAACGAGAATAAGGAATGAACTTCTGTACCAGGTTTAAACCATTATCCCGCCAAAATAAGTCGCCATGTTTCAACTTGACGTTTTCTCTTTTGTCATTGTAAATTTTCTTTAGGCGGCCGATGGTTTATACCAAGTTCTAACTTAGGTTCTCGTTTCATAAAAGGACGGAATAAGTTTTCAAACCATTTGATAGAAACATAACGAGCTATACATACTTATATAGAATCTCTTCAATATTGAAACAAAAGATCCTCAGAATAGCTATTCTGAGATATAAACAGCTACGTCGAGCTAAACGCAATAACAATATAAAGTTTCAGTGAAATAAAACCTTTATTACCTTTTGAAGTAAGCTCTATTTAATTGAAACTATATCTTGTAATAGTGTTGTACTCGACGATGATATAAACTATTGTCATATATTTTTTAACAATGCTACGTATTGACTTATCGGAATTGATTCTTATGATAAATTTTATAATTATAAACCTATTTTGAAACTAAAATAACTATGTCACTTGGATAAGTATTTTACCTAATGCTATAAATAAAATCCAATTTAAATATAAATATTCTATATAAAAATAACAGGGTAAATAACGGCTCCTATGAAACTAAACATTTTATTTTAAAAAATCATTTTAATAAAGAGGTTATAATAATTCGAATTTTGGATACGCTTACCATGATCAGATATTTTTCGAAGGAGAAATTTTAATTTCTGTAACTTGTTGACCCTTTGTCCATTTTTATCATATTTTATAATGCTGTCCTCTATCGCAATACTGCTACGGTAAATTGACTTAATTCTTATATGAATAAAATCTACATCAAATAAATATGTCATTTGAAAATGTAATGAACTCAAGATTATCTCAGAAGTATGAGTCATTTCTATGACACACCTAAAGATAATAGAAGTTTTTTCGCTATTGAAAGAAACACAAATAGAATTGACTGTAAAGAACCGGTCGGGCAACCAAATTTTTTTGGTAACAAAACTGAAAGTCTACCTTTTCAAGAAGCTATTTAATTTCACAATCGAAGCCAGTACCAACTAGCAAGTTACTCAAAAAAGATATCTCAGTATAAGTAATAGAGTACTCAAAGAAAACAAAAGTAACACGTTGGGCGCCAGTTTGTAGTTTATTGTTGGTTATCACTAATATTCAGTAAAAAATTAACGTAAGATCATTGCTTGATGTCACTAATTATTATTTTATCTGAGAAACAAAAAGACCCTGTTGTTTTTCGCATGATTACATTATTTAATATACTTTATTCATAAATACTTATGTCTCATTATAACGATAGAATACTGCCCTTTATATAAAATATATATTTATATAAAGGGCAGTTAGAAATTTTAAATTGACAGTTCCTCTTCGCCATGATTATCTTAATAAACTGTCATAACACAGATTATGTATAACCAATAAGGTAATTAGGAATAAACACGAATTCCTACATACTCAGAAACGCACGCGTTTACGAGGCTCATGGACGTCTCTATACAAGAAATATATTTTTCAAAAATTACGAATTTTAAAAAGGGAACAGCCCTACCCCTTTAATTTACGTTGATATTTATTTCTAGATATGGTTACCATACTGGTTATATATAATCTGACTATTAACCAATTTGTTTGTTTTTTAACTATTTTATAATAATAATAATAACTTTAAAAGACTTCACTAAATTACTACAAGCAATTCACGTCATATCATTAACTTAAATATGATTTGCTTTAAGTAATGGAAAATATATTATGTACAATAGCCACTTCTTTGATGCAATAACCAGACTTTCAATAGCAATATTTACACAGAACATATCTTATTTTTCAAGACATCCCTAAAACTTTTATATTTAAGTCTATTATATGAAGATAATAATAATATTATAAATATACCTAATACCGATGTAATTACTATCTAATGCAATGAAAAAATAAAAAAAATGAAAGTAATTGTTCGAGTATTTTGATAAATAAAAAGTATTTCACCGTATAAATTGTAAAAACTGTTAAATTATCATATATCTTGTAAGAGTCGAAGAAATATATATATATATTTAATCAATATTATTAAAAATGAATCCCTATTTCCCTTGGTCACGCAATCACACGAACGACTGGACCGATAGCGCTAATTCTTTTTTTTTATAGTGTTTGTTATCGTCAGGAGAAGGATCATATGAAAGAAAATAATAAGATACCGGTGTGGAAAATTGGAAAATTTTAGAATATTTCATCGCTATATAATATAATTTCTAATCTAACCTTAGTGTTTTGGATAATATCGTATAAACTTTTTTAATGTAACCTGACCTGTTTGATATGAATTTACAGAATGCGTGCTGCAGATATCGTCAAATAGGATGTAAAAAACATACCATATTATACCAATTCGAATTCAATACTCATAACAAAGATTACAATATTACACTGGATACATAATTAAGACAGACCAACGTTTGTCGGGTAAGTTAGTGTTCGATAAATTATAATCTCTCGAAGCCAAATCCTAAGATCACAATCTATATGGCGTTAAACTATTATTAATCTGATGGCTTTCTCTTATTGGCCGGTCCTAGAGTTGCAAGATGGGATATCTGAATAAAATTTTTAAACTCGATACGATACTTCCATAACTCGGAAGAAATATAAATGACCAAAAACGGTAATGTAATTCTTTCATAGACTGCTCCAGCCGATACTGAGCGACTGATTGATTATAATATTTTACTTTTGTCGCGACATTTCCTTTTTTTTTCGGGACTCTGGATATCGGGATAAACGTCGGGACAATACAAGGACTTAGATGCACTTGTGATTCATCCAAAGCCGAGCAAAAAACGCACCCAGATATATGGGTGCGTTTTTTGCTCGGCTTTGGATGAGCCATGGCGAGCCGATTCTTTGTTGCTTTAAGGATCGGCTCGATCGATCTTTAAGGATGGAGATATATGGAGATATATTCATCCATCTGTTCGGAGGATTGCACTTAGTTGGAATTTATTATATCAAAAATTATAACATCTTTCAAGCAGTTATTCATGATAATTTTTTGACAGTCTTCATCTCGACAGATATATTATAATCTAACTTTTTTTACAATTCCACTATTTTATAATTTTAGAGAGAGATGTATAGTTACCTATACGTAAATCTTACTCTTCATTTCGTCTCTACAAATGATGAGAAAAAAACTCGCCAAATTAATAAATATTTTATATAAAATGATAATATACCTAAGTTATGTCTATTTCACTTATTTTTTTTTTTTACTTAAAGATAGGAATTGCCTACATAGTGGATTGAGAATCATATTTATGGATTTGAATAAAAAATTATATTATATTAATATTTATAATAATTAATATTATTTAATTGTATATTAAATATTTATTGTAAGTTATTGTAAAAGTTCTCGGTATAACTTCAGCTACAAATTAGCTCACATATTGTATTTTATAATTACGTTAAATGTTAAAAAACCACAAAAGCAGCTCCATTTTTATTTTTATTGTAATTATCCGATTTAAAAAAGATGATTTTTACAATTATACGTTAATATTTATCCATTTTCAGTTTATCAAATAGATAAATAGCACAATAAATTTAATATTATTGTATTTTAGAACGACATTCTTGATGTTCATGTTTGATACACATGATGCATT